GGAATATAGTGAAGACATTTTAAGATCTGTTCTACTGACAACCATATTCTGAAAATGGTTCGCGAATTCTTGTCAGAACTTTGGTATTGTTTTTGCTGGAAAATAACGTTTCTGTGGTGTTTGAATGGACTAATGATACCCTTGTACTGGTTGAATGCTTGATTTCGAATTCTAAATACAATACATTCGTTTGTGCCTGTGTCTTCTTAATTCAATTGCGTTAATCCTGGAATTCCTAATTCATACGACAATTAGAATACTATATTGGCGTCGCGATGGAGCCTGCAATGGAAAAGTTGGATATTCATTCAACTCCTGAAGCTTGTGAGGATTATTTGGAAAGGTTCGAAATTTGGAGCATGACCAAAGAAGATGATGAGGATGTTAATATTGTGGCACACTTCCTCACATTCATTGGGAGAGAAGCGTACAGCTTATTAAAAACTTTGACATATCCAGAAAAACCTATCTCACTCCCTTATGCAACGCTTAAAGAGCTATTATTAAGTCATGTAAAATGCACCAGTTTTGAATGCCGTGAAAGGGCGAAGTTTCATAAGGTGGTTCGTCAAAATGACCAAAAGGCTCGGGAATTCATCCTTGAATTACAGAAACAAGCTCACAAGTGTAATTTCGGTGATCAACTTCATGTGCAACTGAGAGATCGATTAATTGCAGGAATTAACATACTGAGTTTGGAAAGAGAGTTGTTAAGAATGCCAAACTGTTCCTTTCAAGATGCTAGAACTGCATGTAATAACTACGAAGCAGTCAATGAACTTGATATCCAGTCGATGAAGATTTCTAATACTTTGCTTAGTCGTCGTGATGGACTACAATCTCAGGGTCAATCAAACTTGCGTTCATTTAACAGTGATTCCTATTCTCCTGTAAATATGAAAGGTGTTTCAACGAGGAATTACAAAGCAAATCACAAAGGTGAGATGAAGTTTGGTAAATGTTTATCATGTGGAAAGTTTCATGCTCGCAATCCATGTGTATTTCGTAATGCTAAATGTTTTAAATGTGGTAAGGTAGGACACATTCAGTCAGTATGCAATGCTACTATCCATTTTGCTTTAAGCTGTACTAAATCTTGTAATTCAAATTTAAATAATTCGGATGTTTCTAATGATCATTTATCTTTATCAACGATTTCAAAAGACACTGCAGAGTCATATCACAGTTCAGAGTTAGATGAAATCCAGAATTCTTGTGAGACAACAGTTCCTAATCAACCGATTTATCAGAATTCTCATGCTATTGTACCAGGTATGACTTTTCCTAATGATTCATATATTTCTAATGAAATTACTTGCAATATTGAGGAAAATATGTTAAATGAACCTAATCATGGTCGGAAACCTGATGTGGTTTGGATAGATGCTGGTTTTTCTAACGATCCTACGCTCTGCAATGACAGTCCTAATGAATTTCATGAGAATATTTCAGAAGAATCAAATCCTAATGTCGTATCATATATTACCTCTCCTCATAATGCATTTGATCGTTGTGAATTACCTGCTCAATGCGAAGCACGAGTACTAAGTGACCTCGAGTTTGATTACATTTCGGATGATTTCATATCAACTGCTGTTTACCCTTATCACAAAAACAGTTCTAATGTTTACTCTAAACAATGTGAGAAATATGTTTTAAATGAAGCCACATTATTCATAACTTGGGGATATAAAGATCCAACATTATTTCGTGAGGGATGATAGGATTGAAAAATCTATGGTTCAAATTCTAGATATTAATGATTTCAGTACAAAACCGATATGCTGATTGTATACAATTCCAGGTGAGTCTGTTCCGATTTCGTTTGTTAATTCCAATACTAATGAGCACTTTCTAGATACTACAAAGTTTTTATCTTATACAATGTCGGACAGACTCAGGATGAACTTAACAAGAAGACGTACAACCGATTACAAACACTTATACTTCTATTTAAGCTGTGGCGGATGTGGTGTTTGAATAGACTAATGATACCCTTGTACTGGTTGAATGCTTGATTTTGAATTCTAAATACAATACATTCGTTTGTGCCTGTGTCTTCTTAATTCAATTGCGTTAATCCTGGAATTCCTAATTCATACGACAATTAGAATACTATAGTTTCGCAATTACTGAATACCTTTTTACATCTTAAAAGCCTGGTAGGACTTATTTAGTGTCTTAATTAACTAACAGACTGTTCATTTAATTATTAAACCCTTATAACTTCGTCACTGTACATTGTCTGGAGGCTAATCAATTATGTCGGTGTATGAACAGATAGACGGTCATGGAAGGACTATCGAATCCATGAATGTTGAATCCTACATGACTCCCAACAGTGGAGTTGGGGTGTTTATACTTTTAAACATTTTTTGGTCTCATGAAACTTCTTTCCTTGAAAATCCATATCTTCAGCATGATTAAGATGTACTACATAGGAAGCAGAAATTACAGGAACGTGGTAATTACTCTTTGCTTAATTACTCAACTGACTTTTACCTGGCCCAATTATTGGTGACTGTTTTTTGTAATTCGCTGTACAGCATTTGTTTCAAGCTAATTGTAAATCATTGTTCCTCACTAACTGTGCCGCATCCAATTCAGTTGATTACATTATCTCAGCAAATGATGGTGAGTGTTTGTATTTCCTTTTGGATTTATCTTGCAGACAAACAGTACACAGAGGATTCTAAGTAATCTGCTGGTGACCAGTGAGCGATCACCCCACTTGAATTGGTATCGAATCCTTTTGGCGTTTATTCTAACAGAAGAGTGGTCTAGTGACTGTAGAATAACACTACACCCTAACTATGCAATCTATAAGGCTAAAATAAACTTAATTGGATTGTTTTCACTGAGTGTCAGATGGTTGATTTGGAACTTAAAGGTCCGATAAATTCAGTAAGAATATATTACTGGGAATATTTTTTTGGCCATGCAGCAGAAGTAACTGTGTAGCGATTTCATCCTTATATCAAGTATATTACTCCTTCCTTAATTCAGCGTTTGTTTTTCAGAGGTTCTCAAAAAACAGTATCCGTGACTGCCATAGAGGGTCAGTGTAAACGATTATTCGACTTCGACATAAGATTATGTAAACTGAGCACTCATGTCACAAGGAATCAACTATAGTACGTCAGGCCTACTAGTCCGCCAAATGCTTCAATACCGATATTATGCCAAAATCCGTACAGCGATTGGGACAAAGTTGCGCTCCTACTTTAGTTCATTTAGACTTGTTATAAAACCGGAATTATAAACTTTTCTTGGACGAAGCCCGTAGAACCACCATAAATGTCAATGAACATAAGAAGTCTCTCATATTTTAAGTCCTAACTTCTTCGAAAACACATCAGGAAGGCAGTGTCCTGAAAGTTTCTACCAGATGAAGTGCTTAGCAAACACTGAAAATAGTTTCAATCAAATTTGTGGTCAATCTCTCTAATGCTTCCGAAAGGGGTCTTGTGACAGAGTGAAGATTATTAATTGCGAGAGGCATGTAGAAAATCATATTGGATGGTTATCTAGGTTCATTTACTTGGAGCCGGGTGTGATCCTGACATCATCTAGGAAGTATAAAGAAGCTGGTGAATCACTTCTATTCACCATTGGAATTTTTCGTCTCATTCTACTATTAGGAAGGAGTTTCCTACCGAAGAAATGGTCTCTTTCAAACCCTCGATTTGATTCTGATAGTAGCGAATGGCAATGATGCCGATTTCAGTTTCGGTAAGGAATTCAATGAATGAATTTATCAAATGTCTTGAGAAAATGTAGATCTATGCTAACAGAATTGTCGCACTCCAGTAATAGGCTGTGGCTATTTCAGGTAACCCATAGGTTGGTATAGCCACTGAAAATCTACTGAACCCTAGACACATCATCCATTAGGCTGAATCATTTCCACGTCGGACAATAGGTGACTGATCGTTACAGGTTTTCTAGCATTTTCAATGTCAAGAATGGATAATGTTTAAACCCATGCATGTACTGGTCCATGTGCCAGCGGTCGCACTCTCTTCCTTCCAACCTGCGCTTACTAAAGCGTTCTTTTCACTTAAATCACATTTGTTTCATATGATCACCGAACTAGCTAAAGTCCCCGAATACCTTAAGAAGGCAATCCACGACAGGTATTAACCAATCTCGAGTAAACCGCAGATCATCTACAAATATGGTCTTCAGGTTTACATTTCATGATACACTAGGGAGAAAACTATTCCGTGAACCAGGAACCATGGAGTTATTTAGCAGATAGTTGCGGAGGGAATCATTTACAACTCTTTCTTTGAACTTCATAACTGTTAGGAACAAAGAAGCTGTTCTATGGTTGGAAGCCTTTGAATCGCTACCTTTCTATATTCTTGTACTATCACACCTTTCTCCAGTTAAGAAGGGTGAACCCCTTCGATTTTGAGAGGGGAGGAAGAACTTCATGATGCCAATGCCACAATTTGAAGCGATTAGTCAAGAGTCATTCGGTGGGAGTATAAGTCGGAAAGTTAATGGGTTTGGATAAATACGTTGGCAATTTAACAACCCCATAACGGTAATTGTGTACTTTCAGGTGCCTTAGTCTATGATATTCAGACTAGAATGTACCTTCTTCGACATGAAGCTGCACAAAAGCCTATCTCTCCCCATCCATTTCGTCAGATGATACGTATAAGTGGTTCCATCCCTTTGATTTTTGGGTATTTTCGTTTCGTAATACCTTGTGGCTGGCCAGTCGTCTATATTACTCTTGATACGTCATTTGCATCAATCTACTCGTTTATACCTGATGAGTTTATTTTTGTTGACTGGAGTAACCCAACAGATGTTTATGCTATAGTAAGTCGACATTCATTGATCATAAAAGTAATGAAGATAAAATTTACCAATAAGCATATAATGTTAATAGTCAAATGTGCATTTGATTTGAATTATTCTGTGAAGTTTATCTATAAGACATTGATAAGTCGTGATACTAGCGGTATAACGGGTCCATTTAAAAAATGGTGGCAAGTTTTGGCGATTTAGGAAAGTCGGCCCGTGATATTTTTGACAAGAACTTCAGCTTCGGGTATCTTAACTTTGAGTTCAAAACCAAAACTGAGAATGATATCTCCGTGACATGTGGTGGCAAACACGACACAAATGCTGGAAGAGTTTCGGGTTTCTTAGAGTCGAAGTTAAAAGCTGCCCCAGGAGTTCATTTAAAGACAAGAGTCGATTCTAAATGGCTAATGACAAGTGAATTAGAAGTCGACAAGAAATTCCATGAGGACTTATCGCATAATGTGATAACTACAATGGAGCCTGATTCAGGGTAAGTTGACAAATCCTCAAACCTAATTATTCAGAGCGAAGTCATTGTTGCTAAAAAATAAGTTCAAGAATGAATATTTCAATGCTAATCTGGATATGAATTTCAAATCGAAATATCCTCTGATCACCGGATCACTCGTATTGCCGTATGTTCTCATTCTGACATTATTCTCTTTAGCATCCCCCATTATCCTGCATTTCGTATTGGTGCACAAGCCGTGGTTGACAGTGAGAAGTCAGAAATTAGCAAACACGTTTATGCAATCAACTTTAAGCAGTCTGATGTGCAAGCGCATGCTACACTCACCGGGCATTCGGATGTTGACTTGAGCGTTTTTCAAAAATTCAAAGACATGAAACTAGGTTTCCGTGTTGGTTGGCGACCAGACACTCGTGAGACGTCATTTGGTGCAGCTCTTCGTTATAAAACCTCTCCTACTGGGAAAGTAAAAGTCAAAATAGACCAACATTGCGTAGTTGGACTGGCTTACAAGCTTAAATTAAACTCAGGTATAATTTATATAGAAACATTTGTCACAAACCTTGGTACTCAGCGTCTATAATTATTTCTTTTTATGTGGATTAGTATTTACACATGTCATGTCGCATTGTGCTGTTGCTAAAGACTTCAGTAATTAGGCTAGTACACATACTGAAGGAGTATTTTGTATAGTTCGCTGGGAAAACTTTACAGAGTAAGAGCATCCTTGATATGCATGAAGATTTCGGCCTATGCATTTCCCTCATATCAGTCAATAAAACCAGTGTGCACCATAGTTTATGCTTATTTATGATAAATGATATGAAGTAATATATGGCCAAGTCTTAACATACACTAACAAGCATTGCCCCCCAAGTTGGTTGACAAAGATTAAACATGCCAACAAACAGTGCCATATTGTTGACTCATGATAAAACGAACCTGGTATTATCAGGAAAGAAATAAAATGGCATTAGGTACAGTCTATCAAGTGATGAATAGTCATTTGTTAAAGTTATTTAACGACCGTATTGGTCATGTAGTGTAAATCCGTTGAGTAATTAGTCAGTCATTTTCTGGAATCATAACCCAACTCCAAGCAGTGAGAATGTGCACCGCGTGATACTATCTCTGCCTGCGCCTATTGGTAATCTTTGGTAGTTGAATCCAACTAAGACTTCAGAACGGTTAGGTTGCAAGTCAGCACTGTTATCAAGTCTGTTAATCCACTAGTCAACAAAAATTGATTTTAATAATGCAAAGTCAACTTCATCGATCCAGTCGAGTAGCTTTTTTTTACTTTTCAAAGCTTAGAGACCCTCATGATCCTATCTTCAGCGCTCCGTGAATTTTTTTACATATCTGTGCCAATAACCCATTTCATGTAACTACTTGAGATTCTTGGTTCAATGAATCAACACATCTCCCAGTTCGATCATTATCACAGATAACTAGGTCCGGGTACTAATGGGCATGATAAATCAACTCATTCACCAGGTAGCTAGGTATGAGTCACACTGAGTGTGAGGACTCATTATACTACGTGGTTTCTCAAATTATAGTAGGTGCGTGAGGTTTCGATCCTAAAAGTCAGTCCCCTGAACCACCATGCTACGGTTTCAATACAAGTTTTTATTGAGTCACATTTCTAATCCTATAGAATGGTATACTAAATGTAACATGCTCTTTACAATGACACTAATTTACTTTTTACCACTGATATCTGCATTTGCGGTTTACTGTTTTACCATCTCGCTAAGCTGTTCCTTGTTTATTCAAGATGTGCATCACATAAGATCTACCTATTGTCGATCGTAACTAATTCACTTTGATCAGTGCGTTTATCAACATCTCTTATCGTTAATTTATTTATTTATCTAAATTTCACCACATCCTACAAAGTTCACTCTAATCCCTTTCATTTGACGTTGTTGACATTTGATATTTAATTCCACTCTCCCTATCTAATTTTTCATAGAACTATGTATTCAGTCAATTAGTAACGATTTAAACTGGATTCTTTTTTACTTCCAGATGCGTGTTTGGCATTGTGCACTCAATTTGATGGGAAGAATTTAGAGAATGGAGGTCAAAAATACGGCATCATGTTCAAGTTTGGATCGTAACATAAACATGGTTGTCTATCTCTAGGTTTAATTATGCTTAGACCGGTGCTTGCACCCCTGTTAGATTTTAACACTGGTTTAATTATACTTGTAAAGTGATCGACTTGTCTCTGTTCCGAAGTATATGACTGAATTCATTCTGTTCTACCAAACGAAACAAAATGTAGCGACCTTCGTGTTTTGTGTTATCCGAATCCTCTGTTGCGCTACGCTGTCTTCCTCATCTAACTTAATACGTCAATTGCTAACGTCCTTAGATGTATGGTTTCCCTAAAATCTCACGAGTTTTCCTTCGCGTTAAGCTACACATCGTTTGAAGTAAATTAAAATGTATTGTGTCCTGGTAGTATCTCCGGATTTCAGCTTCCTCGATGTAGAAAATCTTTATCCAAAGATTACTAAATATTTGTGTTACCTTATTACATGCAGTTAACTCATTTAAGATGTATAAGCGTAGAGGGCGATGACGTCAGCTTTTGTCAAGTTTTATCTAGATTAAAGTAATTTGGTACTAAACGCAGTAATATGCCCTTATAAAACTTGAAGACATGGCTAGGCTCCTGTAGGAATGTAATATTTCACTTCTTAATGACCAGTGTTGTGTTCATTGCTTAACCTTGATCTAACATGTAAGAATACATTGAGTGATACAATATCCCAGTACTTGTAAATTTGAATGGGCATAAGTCGGATTTTAAGAAGCATAACTAGTGCTTTAAAAAGACGTCTAGAGCTAAGATGCATCTTACAGATATCCTTAAGTATGTTAATCACATCTAAACCCATAATGTACATGAATGAGTGGAAAAGGATGGGAGATTATGTAGTCTAAAGGGTGGAATAACCGTAACAATAGTAGTGGTCTATCTAGCTTTGGTTAATTTTCCTCCAGTGTCTGGTATCATTACAAAAGATCATCTAGCATTCACAAGTAACGAAGCAGTGGCTGCTCAAAATTATAATATCTCGTGTTTACTTTCGTCACACTGCTGAGCCAACTAGTTCCAAAACACTACCCAAGTCTTTAATGACAATCTAAAGAACGGTTCTCTTCGAGAAATCCAAGTAGTTATGTCAAAGTGGTTTCGGTTTCTGGTGAAGTCACTAGTGCCAAACTCTCCGAAGTCCCATAGTCTTACGGAACAGCTGTCCACCACCAGACTTTCATTGGTCATCTAACAAGTTAGTCTGTGATGTAAAACTACAAAAAAAACTAATGAGAAACAATTTTTTATATGGCAGATAATCTAGTCAGATATACTTCCGGGAACTTTTTGTCGATAATGTGTTTGGTTTACAGGAAACTTTGAAACCTTAGAACATTATATAACCATCTTCGGATTTGAAAATTAGGCCGTGCACAGCCCCACGAAGAAGTCGAATCTTTTATTTCTTGCAGTTCACTTTGCATCACCAAATAGCAAAACAGTGGTCCATATTTTCGTGGGAGTTGGTTAAATCTAAATTTTTCCAATACTCTGACTTTTAATGTTCCTCCTATTGATGTCAACCCATAATAAAAACTGTATGCATACTATAATTAAGTCATTTTGGTTTCTTGCCAAGTGTTGGAGTTTCATATGTATTGTGGAAGCTATCTTATGATTAATCTGCATAATCTCATACGTTTTCAGAATTGCACAAAGCATGCCATCACCTTCCTAGCATTGCACTCCTCTGAAATAATTAAATAATATGAACAGACGAAATGGAGTGGAATTAGCTGCAATCTAGCAGTTAGTAATTAATGAGTAGAGAACGTCGAGATCAACTCACCTACTTCAGCTGTCATGGTAATCAGCAATGACTTGTTTAATTATTTAATTTGCTTGTGTGTATTCCCTACTACTTGGATACGTATACTAATATGTATATCGACACCAACTTATTTTCCAGTTAATACAGTCTAAAAACCCTATTACATATAAAGTGATATTTAGTTCATGTTAGCTAATATGACCTGAGGCCTCATATAACTCCCGGTGTATGATAAGAGTAATCGATACCCATAAATACGGCATCACTAGTTATAGTCATAGCTCACCACAGTATGTAACTAAAACCCCTGAAAGAGTATATATAAATGGAAACATACGGAGAAACTTCAACAAATAGTTCCCCAAAATCCATTTCTAAGAGTATGAAGCTACATATGAATTTAATTCCTAAGGTGCATTGTAATACACAAACTGTGATAGGAAATAAAAGATACTGCTACTTCATGTTCATGACTTACTTACTTACGCCTGTTACTCCCAATGGAGCATAGGCCGCTGACCAGCATTCTCCAACCCACTCTGTCCTGGGCCTTCTTTTCTAGTTCCATCCAATTCTTGTTCATTTTTCTCATCTCTATCTCCATTTCTCGGCGTAATGTGTTCTTTGGTCTTCCTCTTTTCCTTTGGCTTTGAGGATTCCATGTGAGGGCTTGTCTTGTGACGCAGTTGGGTGCTTTCCTCAATGTGTGTCCTATCCACTTCCAGCGCTTCTTCCTGATTTCTTCCTCCACTGGGATCTGGTTTGTTCTCTCCCACAGTTGATTGTTGCTAATAGTGTCCGGCCAATGGATCTGAAGTATTTTGCGTAGACAATTGTTAATAAACACCTGTATTTTCTGGATGATGGCTTTCGTAGTTCTCCAGGTTTCTGCCCCATACAGTAAAACTGTCTTGACATTTGTATTAAAAATCCTGACCTTGGTGTTGGTTGATAGTTGCTTTGAGTTCCAGATGTTCCTCAGTTGTAAATATGCTGCTCTTGCTTTGCCGATCCGCGCCTTCACATCTGCATCAGATCCATCTTGTTCATCAATGATGCTGCTCAAATATGTAAAGGTTTTTACATCTTCCAAATCTTGTCGGTCAATTTTGATTGGATTGGTGCATTCTGTGTTGTATCGGAGAATCCTGCTTTTCTCTTTGTGCATATTGAGACCTACTGCTGCCACACTGTTCGTCTTCTCCTGCATCTGTTGTTGCGTTTGGGATAGAAGGGCCAGATCGTCTGCGAAGTCTAGATCATCCAACTGCATCTTAGATGTCCATTGTATCCCGCGCTTCCCTTCAGACGTTGACGTCTTCATGATCCAGTCGATCACCAGGAGAAAGAGAAAGTGTGAGAGTAAGCAACCTTGCCTGACACCGGTCTTCACTTCGAACGACTTTGTCAACTGTCCTCCATGCACGATTTTGCAGTGTAATCCATCATACGAACTCTGTATGATATTGACTATCTTCTGAGGCACGCCGTAGTGTCGAAGAAGTTTCCATAGTGTTGTTCTGTCCACGCTATCAAATGCCTTTTCGTAGTCAATGAAGTTGATGTAGAGTGATGAATCCCATTCAATTGATTGTTCCACAATGATCCGTAGAGTTGCGATTTGGTCTGTACACGATCTATCCTTACGGAATCCTGCCTGTCGGGCGTCTACGTAGTCCTTCATCCTGTTTAACAATACCCTGTTGAAGACTTTTCCCGGTATTGAGAGAAGAGTGATGCCCCTGTAGCTATCACAGTTGCTGAGATCGCCTTTCTTCGGTATTTTGATCAGAAGTCCTTTCCAGTCTGTTGGTACTTGTTCCTCATCCCAAATCTTATTGAAGAGAATGTGGAGTATCCTTTCAGTTGCCGCTACGTCTGCTTTCAGTGCCTCTGCTGGAATGTTGTCCGGTCTTGCTGCTTTGCCACTCTTGATTTGTCTGATGGCCATGCTGATTTCTTCAATTGTTGGTGGGCCAACATTGATTGGGAGGTCCGTGTGTACTGCTTCGATGTTGGGTGGGTTCAGTAGGGCTGGTCGATTCAAGAGTTCTTTGAAGTGTTCTATCCACCTGTTTTGTTGCTCTTCAATGTTGGTGATTACCTTGCCTTCTTTGCTTTTCACTGGTCGTTCTGGTTTGCGGCGATTTCCAGAGAGTTTCTTTGTTATGTCATACAATTGTCTCATGTTTCCTTCTCTTGCAGCCTTTTCCGCCGTCGTTGCTAAATCTTACACATATTTACGTTTGTCGGTTCTGATGCTCCTCTTCACTTCTGTGTATTCAGCTTGTGCCTTGACTTTTTCTGCTCTTGTTCGACTGGTATTGATTGTCGCTTTCTTGTTCCTTCTTTCTTGAATCTTATCCAGTGTATCAGCAGTGATCCATTCCTTGTGATGGAGCTTCTTGTGACCCAGGACCTCATGACTTGTTGAAGTGATTGCCTATTTGATCCCCTTCCAGTTGCTCTCCACAGTAGTTCCTTCTCTATTGAGTAGATCATGAAAAGCCTGGAACTTATTGCTGAGGACTATCTTGAATTTGTTGAGTTTGTTAGTATCCTGAAGAAAGGCCGTATTAAACTTTTGTGAATAACTTCCAAATAAGTTCTATAAAATCTGACCAGCTAAAACTTGGATTATTTCGTGTCCGAAAGCAATTTACTGAAAATTGATGCAAGTACGCATAAGTGTTAGACACCATTAACTTTCTGGTAGTAAATTCTATTGCACTAAAACTCGAATCCGGTTGCTACATGATACAGATTTAGTTCGAAAATTTGACTAATGAAACGGGCTGAACATAATAGGCTTTATATGTGTTGAGTAGAACTGCACGAAAGTAAACCTTGGGCACTGATGAAGATGAATCGAACTGAAGTTCTCCCTATGAATCTTTTGATATGTGAATAGCTTACAGGGCGATAAGAAGTGGACACTTCTTATCGCTCATTGACAAACATCAACCAATTTTGATTTGTACGATGCCAGACGGGATAATTTCATACTGTCATTTTTATTTGGTACTAAACAATCCGTGGTAGTCGACGTAAGGTCAATTCCTAACGCCCTTTAATTGCTAGTCGTTATCAATGAAGCCTGATAGCACCTTCGATAAGACGTAGGTTCTTAATAAATCAAAACCTCTATTCCTCAATATCAGAGCTTTTAAGACCGTCTTGAAATCCCGTTTTAACTAGGAACTAAGTCTATGTAGCAGCATAATCGGAATCTCAACCATGTT